AGTTGAAACCCCCTATGTTAACAAACCTTGAAACCCCGTTAGGCAAATTAGAATATGGCCACAAAAGTTTATATTTCTTACAGAAAAAAGAGACTGCGAAAGGTGAAAAAAGTTTCCATGGATTGTTTTTATATCAATCTTCATCTACCATCATTAAAATGAGCTTTAAAGGTCCGCTTTTGAAAATTATAGAGCAAAGAAAGTCATGCAGCGATACCACAACTTTTCCCAGTCGACTGGACTGTCCAGAAGTGTTTGCAGAATCCGTAACGTTTTCAACCAGCCTATTGCACTAAATTGGAAGGTAATACATTCTTACAAATCGTGCGCATGTCATTTGGCCCCGAAGACTTCATTAGCAACGGATTTTTACAGATACATTTTCCAAATGCAAAAAATCACCGCTTCGGAGTTGAAACCCCATATGTTACTTAACCGAAACCCCATATGTGCCGTACTACACGGTGGTACCGTTATTTTCAGTGCAATTTTTTTTTGTTATGATATGTAAAATGGAAACGATTATATTTGATTAATATTTGATTAATTGTTCCTGAGTACATGTATGAACGACACAAATTCGACATGGATTTCTAGAAAAAATATGGGTGTGCGCGGGGTGCTGAGCCAATGACTAAATGTTACTACATGTACATACATGTATATCTCTTCCAAAGCTATAGAAAAAAATCTTAATGACTCAGATCATGTTGAACATTAATTCTTCTTTACAAATAAGTCATTTAAGAAATAAATCTGTTCCAAGTATCAAAATTATCAGTTTGTTTTACGTTGCGCTCATAAACAGTTTCATTGTACATACATGTAAAACGTCAATTTGGCGTCACAGTGCATTTTGTGTGTTTTACTCAAAAAAGATCCAATATTCAACTACAAATATCTCTGTAACGGATGCATGTATCTTATAATGTTTGTAATAAAAATGTAGGGAAAATTCCCAGCTTTCGGGTCATGGCATTTATTTTTATTTTATTTTGTGTTGTTACTAAGATAAATCCAATAGAGGATAGCACAAAATCAGTCATTTATGCGTAATTTTATCAACTTCCTGGGTGGATTTGAAATATTAACTTCAAGTTTACGATAATTTCTTAACATCATGTAGAAAAACTTTGTTTAGCAAAAATGTTCAGTTTCTTCTCTAGTTTCAGAAAATATCAGTTGTTTTGTTGTATCCCAATTATTTACAAAACGCCAACAGTTTAACATCTGTGAATGAGAAAGTGCGTCCAAATGCGTCTCTGGGGGTTAAAGGGTTAAGACATGTATCTAGTTGTCTTAAGATTTTGACAGATCTTAAGATTATCATGAGATATGACAGTTCTGTGAAACAGTTAAGGTGTGCAATCTTATGATAATTTTCGGTCTTAAGACAGATCTTAGTCATAAGACACATTCCCTCTTAGATTTACCTCTTAATCATCATAACTACGTACTTAGTTAGTTTATTTAATACCCGGGGGCAGAGAAGAAGATTTTCAAAGAAATAATGCATTTTCACTATTTAATCAATAGAGCCTCGCCCTAACACCAGAAACCCTGACCCTGGGTCATTAAATTCAAAATTTTGGATGAGTCACTCTTGCTCATCATAACTATGAACTTAGTTTATTTAATACCCGGGAGCAGAAAAGAAAATTTTCAAAGAAATAATGCATTTTCACTATATAATCAATAGAGCCCCGCCCTAACACCAGAAACCCTGGGCCCATAAAATTCACAATTTTGGTAGAGGCACTCTTGGTCATCATAACTATGTACTTCGTTAGTTTATTTAATACTCAAGAGCGGAGAAGAAGATTTTCAAAGAAACAATGCATTTTCACTATATAATCAATGGAGCCCCGCTCTAACACCAGAACCCCTGACCCTGGGGCCATGATTTTCACAATTTTGGTAAAGGACTCAATGGTTATTACATTCATGCTAACAGTTTGACTGCTTTTTGTCCAGGAGTAAAGAAGAAGATTTTGAAGGATTTTGGTGGTTTTGGTCCCGCCCCTCTGGCCCCACGGGGGCAGGGACCATGAATATCACAATTTTTGTTTCCCTTCACCCATAGATGCTTTATGCCAAATTTGGTGGAAATTGGTTGAGTGGTTGCAGAGAAGAAGCTGAAAATGTTCAAATGTTAACACACGACGAACGACGCACGACGACGGACGAAAACTCAGGTGACCTATTGCTATCCGTTTTCTAAAAAGTAAATAGCCGGGTATACCAGTCCTGTCCTCTATAGGTGTTCATTAACTAGAACTGTCCAATCGGGACAAAATACCCCCCGCTGGGTTTTTCAGAAGTAAGTTTTTGTATAATAAAGATATGTATCAAACACGAATTATAAAATTTTTCTTCCAGTGACCTTGAACTTCCCCAACTGACCTTGGGTCAAGGTCATGACACACCCTTGGGTCATGGGCAATCTTTGAGTGAAATAAGAACCTACCAAGTTTATCAATAAGAAAGATATGGACCGGACACGAATTATTAAATTTTTCTTCCAGTGACCTTGAACTTCCCCACATGACCTTGGGTCAAGGTCATGACACACCCTTGGGTCATGGGTAATCTTTGTATGAAATGAAAACCTACCAAGTTTATCCTTAAGAAAGATATGGACCGGACACGAATTATTAAATTTTTCTTCCAGTGACCTTGAACTTCCCAAAATGACCTTGGGTCAAGGTCATGACACACCCTTGGGTCATGGGCAATCTTTGTATGAAATGAAAACCTACCAAGTTTATCCATAAGAAAGATATGGACCGGACACGAATTATGAAATTTTTCTTCCAGTAACCTTGAACTTCCACAAATGACCTTGGGTCAAGGTCATGACACACCCTTGGGTCATGGGCAATCTTTGTGTGAAATGAGAACCTACCAAGCTTATCCATAAAAGATATGTGTCAAACATGAATTTTGAAATTTTTCTCCCAGTGACCTTGAACTTCCCCAAATGACCTTGGGTCAAGGTCATGACACACCCTTGGGTCATGGGCAATCTTTGTGTGAAATGAGAACCTACCAAGTTTATCCATAAGAAAGATATGGACCGGACACGAATTATGAAATTTTTCTTCCAGTGACCTTGAACTTCCCCAAATGACCTTGGGTCAAGGTCATGACACACCCTTAGGTTATGAGCAATCTTAATGTGGAGTAGTAGATTCTAATGTCCCTCTGTAAGAAAGATATGGACCGGACACGATTGCACAGACAGACGGACAGACGGACAGACAGACAGACAGACAGACGGACAGACGGACAGACAGACAGACGGACAAGGTGATTCCTATATACCCCCCCAAACTTCGTTTGCGGGGGGTATAATTATTGTTTATACAGTAATTGTATGTTTTCATAGTTAATTATTTATTTACACAAAAATTCCACCTATTCCCACTTGAAATCTTACCTTTTCCTACCTGATTTTCAAAAAGTGGGAATAGGTAGAATGAACTCTCCGTCCGTCTAGCTGTACGTCCGTCCGTCTGTGTGTTACGCTCTGGGGTACCCATCTCTTATCCGCAACTCCTCTTATACCACTGAGTGAAATTGAATAAAACTTTCACAGAATCTTTATTACATATTGCCATTGTGACCTCCTATTTTACTTTTTGATCCGACACATATTTTGGGTTTCCTGGCCACAGCAAAACATGGACTTTGCCATTATGACCATATGGGAGGCGGGGGTATCATTTAGTGAGCTCATTGCTCACAGTATCTCTAGTTTGCAAGTGTGAATTGGTGAAATTGAGATTTTAAAATAGTGGGAATAGGTAGAAGACACCATTAGTCTTTTTATGCATGTAAATGATGCTTGTAGCTATTAATGGAGTTTTATGAAGAGACTTACTTTTACAATCTACGACTTCTACAATTTAAACAGAGACAGGATCTCAGAAAATTGACAAAATGAGGTAAATTTGTCAAGTGTGTCCCACCGCATTTGTGAAAATTGGATAGCAGATTTTCATCTGTCTCCGTTGGATTCACTGTGGAAATTCGATATCATATTTTGAGGTTAATACACCACGTTGTCATTCCACTGCTTACGAAAACATGGACAATTCAAAGTGTGCAAACTCTGCTGTATACCTTCATAGTTTTTATTTATGGCTAGTCCACGAACTTCTCTATAACCCAATATAAAAATATTGGAGACAATAAAATTATACATTGTTCATTCACTTTTAAGTTATGTTTCTACAGTGTAGAATTTTTGTCCAAAATGATTGATTGCTTAATTTACTAGTGGTACAGTTGTAGTAAATGTTACTGATTAAAAACAGCTGGAAAAAACATGTCAAGTGGAGATTTTCCTTGAGAAATAATCAGTCTAAAGAATTTAGCAATTCAAAAATATGTATAAGAAAGTAAAATTCATTCGATAGTAAGATTTTAAAATAAAATAAAATATTCTGATGACTAATCTATCCTATTCTCGCATCATATTTTTTCGCGAAATAACGCGAAAGTTACGCGTTTATTCGCGAAAGTTTCGCATTTATTCGCGGAAGTTTTGCGTTAGAACGCGAAAGTTTCGCGTTATAACGCGAAAATTACGCGTTTATTCGCGAAAGTTTCGCGTTATAACGCGAAAAAAAATATTTTTCTTACCTACGAAAATGAGCTCATTGGGCTTTCGTATTTTTCTACCCCTCACAGCTCAAAAATAAAGTTACTGTATTGACTTAAGTACTCTCCTAGAGATGTAATAAGAAAAAAAAACATTTGACATATGTATTTTTAAAAACAAATAAGGTATTATAGTAAAAAAGAAGTGTTATAGATCACCCTTAGAGGATGGAAGCAAATTTGATAATTTGATTATAGTAGTTTTCCCAGTGGAAGGACTTACGGTACAAGTATATTATTTCCAATTTTAGGATGTTCAAAATGCATATGTCTGAGATAGGCGTTTTGCAACGGGGGAGGAAAACATAAGACACTCACAGAAGGTAAAATCTTACTTTTACAAACAGGAAGGTCTTGGCTATTCCATAAACCATCCTTTCCACAATGACGGATATTGGTTTCGTGATCTGAAGCATACCCCTCTATACACGAAATATTCACTGACTCATCTTCTCTAAAAAACTCCTTTCTCGGGGTTGCTGTTAAGAATGAGCTGTTAAACGACGTAATATCCAATTTGCATCTATTTGCTGAAACAGCATAAGCAAAATTCTCTTTTAGAGAAACAATATGATGAAACTCATTTAATTTCACAATAAAATATTTTGGTTGCACACATACAATGCGTATCCAGTTTTAAGAAAGTGCTTTATTAACGAAAATTACATTTAAATGATATTTACGAACTTGGCATTTTCTGAATTGATATTTCTAAGTTAACAAACAGGTTTGGAAAGAATTTACTTACCAAAAACAAAAGTGTAATAGACCGTTGTAAAAATATAAAACAATGTTATCTTCATTGCCACAACTGACCTCCTCTTGCAGAAAAAAAATTACAAATATTATGCAAGGTAGCTACAGCACTTCCTCGTCAAATTCAAGTGAAATGTTTTTGTTGCCGAAGATAATGAATGTGATTTTTTTAAATCAAGATAACGATCAGTGTACAGTTAATTTTTCGCGGCCTGTTTTTAGTGTACTGATATATGGACAAACAGCGAGTAACTCTCACTACATAGCATTGATTTCGTTTTCTTACTTTTTTGTCACAAATTGTTAGTAGATAAATTGTTTTTTCTCTGATAATTATATACATATCTGATATTGGGAATTGTAAATGTGCACAGAGAGTTGGCGTCCGTAGCAAATTATTGATGGCAAAAATTATTCCACAGTTCATAGTTATAGAAGTATTTAATTCATAATAGACAAAAAAAGTATACAATATATGGATATGGATTGAATTTGAACAGCAGGCTAATACCACGCCTATATTAATTCTCTCCATTTGAGATCAAGGTACAATTGTAAAAATTCCATAACAGATCATCGTTAAAATAAAACACTGAACAATTTGCATTTTTGCATATATTAGACGAAATGGAAGTTTCTCAACTTTCTGTTGCAAATATCAAATACGTCATCGGGTGGATGCATTTTAAACGTCTTGGTTGCTAGGAAAAATGGTAACAATCCTTTTAAGAAGAAGAAGGTATGTGTATTTTCTCTCTCTTTTTTTTTTTTTTACAAGTATGTAATTCTTTTATTTAACACATGTTAAAAAATTACTGAAAAGCAATTAAATAAACTAATCAAATTCCATTCTCCTCCAAGTGACTAGATTTGTGAAAATATTTTGAAATAATAAGTAATATTTACTAGATATACAAAAATTTACGAATAGTTCTGGTCTCGTTTGTATACCATTTTAGTAAATTCAGCAAAGATGTCGTTTTAGGTCTTTTTCGTCGGGTAGGTGTTTATCTAGCAAGCAAGAAAATGGGAAATTGAAAAAGCACAGTAATTTCTAATCAAAGTAACAGCCAATCGCATGTTTCTCTATATACATATTAATAATTCTTATATTATGGGGAAAAAGATGCTTTGTTCCATAAATGGAATTTCCGCTATGAAGTGGTGAAGATTGTTCAAAATAAAGCATCATAATATTACCATAGTGATACAATACCTAATTTGAGAAAATCGTTGTTGAAGATAGCAAATAAACCAAGGAACTCTGAAGCAAATGATATATTAGTTTTTTTAGTTTAACTACCTCTCATACGGTACCATAGAGTTAGTTCTCTTTAAATTGTGACAGAAAAAAAATCAAACTTTGCTAGAAATGTTGAAAATTATTAAATGTTCTGCTAAATAAATGCAGATAGGCAAAAATCATTACAATTGAATATATTATTGTAAACAAATATAATAAACAGGCTTCTGATGAAAAATATTTGTGAGAACTTATTTTAACATTTCTTTTATTTTTAATGTGAAATAAATGGAAATACATTGTTAGCTTGCGAGAGAAATGTAGATTGAATACAAACGTAACATGGTAAGTTATAGAAATTAAAAAAAAAAATAATAAATTTCACAGATACTGAATAATATTTGACACTAGTATTAAAATTTTGAACAGACGTAAATGTATAGTTACATATGTAATATTTACTAACCATAACTAATTTATGCAAATACAAAAGTTAAAACAATTTAAGGACTGACGCTGTTTTAGGTAGCCAGTAACTTACTATACTGTATAGAAAACGAAATGACATACGACTTTTAACATGTTTATTTAACCCCCCTGGCGAGCCCCTTCAGGTAACGCTTACCTGCATAATAAACAGTAGACGGGCGTTAATTTAAGGTTTACATAACGGAAGTCAAATTCACCCTGATTGGTAAGCTTTTATATATCTTGATAAGCTATCATAGGTCAAATTATCTACATTTTGGAATGGATTATTTTGTATATATAGTATGCAAAGGGAGATTAAAGCTGTAGCTTTTGTTAATCGAGTGCAGCATTGAGGAATCCCCCGGGGTATAAAAATGTCAACTGTGTTATTTAAATATTTCTGTTAATGTCGCAACCTTTTCCATATCAAGATTTTGATTGTTTACATAATGATACAAAATTAACAAATGACACTTTCGATACATGTATGCTTTAATTCTGTGTATACGCGGTATAATTATGCATTTTTCTGAACATTACACTATATGCATAAATACATTAAATTCTGACGCGAAATTATTGAAGTAATACGAGGTGTAATGTGTCAGATTAAGTGACTCATTAAATTTGCGTGTAACATGTGTCAAAATCTTTAGTGGTCATTTGTAACATATTGTGTTTTACAGAAAGGTCCTGTTTCAATTCAATACGTAGAAACTAGAAAGTGACGGATACCTGGTGCATGTTACGGAGGCGAAGAACTGTCATAATTACCTTAGGAATTGTGTGTTCTATCGTCGTTGTCTTGTCGATAAATCTGTACAGGCAAGACAGGGAGGACAAAAAAGCCAAGACGTCTGTGAAAATCAAAAGACGTACAGTACGAGACCACATAGACAGCTCGATCCACGACTCCTTTTACGTTCACCAGTTTGATCGAAAGTCTCCGGAGCAGACAAAAATAGCAAGCGATCACAATCCTGAAAATAATGCCGTAAACATCTTTCAGTACCAAGAGCTGAAGAGTGCTCCTTGTGTTCCATTCCAGACATGGAGGGGGATGATAAAAATATGTACCCACGACCCAAAGCAAGATACAATGATATCAGCCTTTGTTCATGAGTTTGCTACTTGGGAGCAGGATTTTCTCAATGCTACTGGGGACATTTTGACAAAGAACCCACAAATAACGTTCGTAGATCTGGGATGTAACATTGGAGTGTATACGCTGTTTGCAGCTAAACTCGGAATACCGGTCGTGTCGGTGGACATTTTTGACAAAAATCTTGCTCTTTTGTCCAAATCTTTAGAAATTAATTCACTGAAAGAAAATGTTACGTTGGTACATAACGCCATTTCGGATCAACGTCAAAATGTTACGATTGAGGTCGTAGAAAATAATATCGGGGGATCATATGTTAAACCCTTAAAAACTGACAGAATGTCACAGCAAATCATCATCGGGTCAATTTTGTTGGATGATTTAATTCCACTGATTAAAACCAAAGACGTTTTTGTGAAAATGGACATAGAGGGAACAGAACTTAAAGCTTTAAAAGCGGCAAAGAATTTCTTTCAAACAGTAAATGTTAAAGGTATATTAATGGAATGGGTTTTGCATAAGAATAACCCAAGCGGAAAGGAAATTATAAAGATCATGATTGACAACGGGTTGATGCCTTACTGGGATCACCAACAGTTAGTTCCCTTGAAAATCGGCGGGTATATCTACTGGCCGGAAAATGTGTTCTGGATAAAACGATAATCTAAATAACGTAAACAGTGCCATTATATATTTTATAAAGATTAAGGGTCTTTCTTTTAAAATTGTTATTTTTTTATGTAAAATTTTATCATACAATTTTTATATAGAAATTGTTTATATGTTTTATTACTTGATTTATAGTAAAGAATATATATATTTTAAATTGTATGAGAATATATTTTTGTGAAATATAAAAGAAATGGTCGTATCTCATTTTCAGAATACAATGAATGCAAAACAGCACTTTTCTAAAAGAAATAAGTAAAGGGGCGTGAACACAGATTTGAAGTTAATCTGTCTCAAAAATTTCGATTTTTAGACGCAAGACTATTCGATGTAAAAGGATTTCTTTTAAACCTAAATTTTAAAACAAAAGTAGAAAAAAAAGAAAAGAAAAAGAGTCAACAATGTAAACACTCTAAAAAAAGTTTTACTTGTTGTTTTTAAAATAAGATATTAGATTAAGAAAAACTAGTAATTATTAGTAATCCATTTAGTCAGAATAGCAAGTAAATGACTATCATAGTTAGTAATTGTAAACATGATTAGTAATAAGGATGAATTCATTTACTTATAAAATGATTTACTAAGTATCAATAGAATTACTTAAATTATAGGAATTGTATTACTTTAAGTTAGTAATGAACTACTCATTTTTGTTAAATTATTATTACTTAATTTACAGATAATATGCTTTCTATTTACTAAATTTTATGAATTATTATACAAATATGGACTCAATGTAGGTCAATATGCATTTATAATGACCCAGGATGACAGATATTGACCGAAGATACATGTAGTATATCGACCGAGGGCGCTAGCCCGAGGTCGATATACTTCATGTATCTGAGGTCAATATCTGTCATCCTGGGTCATTATAAATGCATATTGACCGTGCATTGAGTCCATATTTATTATATTATATAAATAATAATTTCCCAAATTTATTAGTGCAATGAATATCATCCTATTATTTACAGAGATAGTATTAACCATAAATAAGATGAATGTAAATGTTCTAGAATTCAATGAATATTAATCAGAGGAAATTGTTTCGGCAATAAATTTCCCATATCATTATAATGACGCAAGATATCTATCTCCGAATAACACAGAGTACCCCCCTCCCCCAGATTGAGAATCGCTCTCGTTAACACTTGCAGAGGAAATTATATGCAATGACAAAATATAAATACCTATGTCTTCTAAGAATAGATACAATCTTACATGGCATGCTTGTCTATATTTTCTTTAGTCTCCGTAATCGTGTAAACAGCGTCAAAACTCTGCTCACCGAGTGGAAAGGTCGAACTCAACCATGAAATGGTATGTGCTAATTATTCCCGAAAAATATTCACAAATATCCTAGTAATTGTTTTGTATTATCAGTCTCAGAATTCTTCAGAATATGTTTTAAATTTTCCTCACCTACAACTTGCGAACCTCCATGTTTGTCTAAAGCGAAAGTGAAAACGAGGCAGCTCGTGCGAGTCATTATTCGCTTTCAGCGGTCGTTATTAAAAAATAAGTACTTCGTATTGACCAATCAGATTACCGGATTTCACAAAGTTATATAATATTACTAAGTAAATGTAATTCTGAAATTAATCAAAATCTATTATCTAGAATATTATTACTCAAAAGAATACTAAGTAAATGAAATACTTATCATATTTACTAAAATCGACATTATTTACTAGAAACACTGCAAGGTACCGACCCTCTGACATGTGAGTACTACTCACAGATTTCTTTATTAGAGTTCCCTAACTGGGCCCTCTGAATAGTTTAATAGAAGAAATCTACTTATGATGGAAACAATTATATTTTCTATTTCTTTTGCCAATTTCTTTGTAATTATTTTATTATATATAACAATAAAACATTTGATTCCAATTCGAAAGCCTTATAAATTGAATAAGTTGTATCTTTTTAAGGACCATTTTAAAAATGGTTAAACATTTCAAGTACTTAATTTCGCATTTTTATTAGTGTGACTTTTTTTTCACATGAAGGTATATTTAGAAGAAAGATAACTCCTCCTCACAGACAATTAATGATTAGACTACCATATTTAAGTAAATACTGATCTGAATTCTCCTTGATTTAGTAAATAAATTTTTGTTTTAAGTAAATTAATTAATACAATTCAAACAAGATGTGTTTGTGAAACACCTATGCCCCTGTATGGCAACATAGCAAAGGTTAAACTTTTTTTATATGCAAATTTAGATTATTGGGATTTCTTGATATCTCCAAGGTCAAAAGGTCAAGGTTATTGGTATCTAATGAAAGGTCTTGCCACAAAAAATACATTTGTGAAATGTGGAAACACTTGCCTCAACCCTTCAAAAGTTAAGGTTACCAATTTTGAAATGTAGGTCAAACTCCAAGGTCAAGGACAAAGGGACAGATTTGGTGGTACCCTAAGAAAGGTCTTGTCACAAGGATGAACTATGTAAAGTATGAATGCACTAACCCTAATCCTTTTAAAGATACAGTCAAGGTTTGCTTTTTAAAAGTGGGTCAAACTCCAAGGTCAAGGTCAAAGGGTCAAAGTTCTTGGTATCCTATGAATGGTCTTCTCGAAATGATTACATATATGTAAGTATGAAAACACTATTCCTT